TATATATTTATATATATTTTGGAGCCCCCTGCAGTTAAGTTTGTGAAAATTCACAGTGGTAAATGTCGCTATCGTAATTACTGTGATTTATTTTTATTTTATTTCATTTTATTTTGCTGTTTTCGTGTTTTAAATAAAATATTTTATTTTAAATGAAAAATAAGTACACATATTTAAAACTATTTAAGTCAGGTTAAACGTAAAACAATAAAATAGCAAACGAATACATCGTTTTAAATGCACATTTAAAATTGTCACCCCTATTCCGCCACAAGAAAGCACGTTGGAATATTTAGAAATGTTGTTTTAATACTACAATAAGCCATCTCAAAAGATAAATGTAGTGTGCTTATGTTCTTCTGCGCATCTGCATAATTGACCGTGCATAATTAGCCGAATTACATTAGCCAGTTATATTTATACATTGTATATATTTATTCTTTTCTGTTCTTTTTCTTCTTCTACTACTTTTTAATGTTGAAAAAAAGTGCTCGGCTTCTAATAGATACAAGTATGCGAATTGTCGTTATGTTGAAAAAAATTGTTCGACCTCTAAAGAATGTAAGTATGCGAGTTGTCGTGGCCGAGTGGTTAAGGCGATGGACTAGAAATCCATTGGGGTTTCCCCGCGCAGGTTCGAATCCTGCCGACAACGAATCGTTTTCCGTTCTGGAACTTAACTTACACCAACCAGCAAACCGGAAGCGTTAGGTCAGCTTCCAGAGCACGGTAATATTATGTTTAACAGGGCAGTAAAGTTAATTTTGTAGAATTTGACAAGTTATATTAAGGAAAAATCCTGCATTTCTGAAAGGATTGCAAATATGTCGTGGCCGAGTGGTTAAGGCGATGGACTAGAAATCCATTGGGGTCTCCCCGCGCAGGTTCGAATCCTGCCGACAACGAATCTTTTTCCGTTCTGGAACTTAACTTACACCAACCAGCAAACCGGAAGCGTTAGGTCAGCTTCCAGAGCACGGTAATATTATGTTTAACAGGGCAGTAAAGTTAATTGTGTAGAATTTGACAAGTTATATTAAGGAAAAATCCTGCATTTCTGAAAGGATTGCAAATAAATGATCCACGCGTTTCTATGGTAACAAACGTGGCGTTCTCCACCGGATAATCATGGTGGATGATCTGGATGATTTACTTGATGAAGTCGAATCAAAGTTTTGTTGCAGCACGTCTGCATCCAAACAATCAACTTATGCTTAAAAACAAACGGACCAAAAATGTGCGAATCCTGAGGACAAGAAACGTTAATTTTGTAGAATTTGACAAGTTATATTAAGGAAAAATCCTGCATTTCTGAAAGGATTGCAAAGAAATGATCCACGCGTTTCTATGGTAACAAACGTGGCGTTCTCCACCGGATAATCATGGCGGATGATCTGGATGATTTACTTGATGAAGTCGAATCAAAGTTTTGTTGCAGCACGTCTGCATCCAAACAATCAACTTATGCTTTAAAACAAACGGACCAAAAATGTGCGAACCCCGAGGACAAGAAACAGTCCAGGTACGTTAAGTAGGCTAGCGAGATTAGCACCCGAGCTAACGTAGCTACAAACTACTGCAGATAATATAAATCTAACCCCTTTGCGTATACAGTCATAGCCACACACCTTTGATGCAAATAATGTGTTACCAGCCTGACTGAAATGCTAAAAAGGTTTACCATGAGGCTAACAAAATAGCCTCACATGGCGATAATGTATACATGATCTCCAAGACCTGAACAAAACCAGATTCTTCCAAGACAAAACTATAACGTTTCGACTTATTTGTACGGTTTCTAGAAAACAAGGATGCAAAAAAGCTCGACATGACAATGATGATATTGATGCTATGCTGCAGGAAATACTGGACGATGATTATCAGCCCATCAGCACTCACGTAAGTCAAATAACACGACAAAACCAAAGTAAACATACTTTTTCCAGTTTAATATTGCCAGTTGTTGTTTGCAGTGCGTCTCAAGCATCTGTAAAATCTCTCATGAACTAACAGGAATCCATTGCAGCAAAGACTTCCACAAGTGATGCATGTTCTCAGACAATGTCCAAGAAGTAAGAGCCTTTCAAACATGGAACAACTAGATTCAAGACTCAAGGTGTGTTGTTACTGATTGACGTTCACCTATTTCCTCAAACAGATGTTGTCCTGTGTTTCTTGGTGGAAGTTCTGTACCACACGGTATTGGAACCAGCCTTTCACAAAGGTGAAAATTACATCAGAATCAGATCTTGCATGGACTTAAAGGCCACATGCATATTTAAATAATTTTCTAATAAGCTCAATATTAACAACCACTATCACAATACATATTTTTCCCATTGAGATTGTATGATAGATTTTCTTAGACATGTGCAAATGTATTCTGACTGTGGTCTGTAACAAGAATTGTCTTGTTTTTGAAGGGCCTGCAACCGTTTAAGATGTATATCTTGCGATTTCAGTGTAATCATGTTTGAGGATCAGGAATGGGACTCATCCGGTGACTATTTATTTTTCAGGTAAGGTATCAGGAGGGAACATCGTTTGATCAGGAGGGGGCAGCATTGATCCATGTGTCCCACTGTAGCAGATGCAGCAGTTTGTACATTCATTATCAATTCATTGATTTTCTTAGACTGCCACAGGCAGGCTTGTTTTTGCACAGCACCAGCATGTCAGTTAATGATGTCTTTGTTGAAGTCATCGTGTTGCCCTCTTAGAGATAAGCTTTATTAAATTTGCACATGCTGATAAAGAAACACTTTTGGACGAGCATTCCAACAATGCAACACGCCACCTTTTTAGCATGAACCCTTTTTTCCTACGGACTGCGTCATTTCCTTATTATCTTCAGCGCAGTGGCTTGCAGCGTCTCACTCAACTTTTGCATCAAACAGACAGTGAATCATTCGTACCATGTCTTTTATGTTGTTATCTTCCGTATTTAGGCCATGATGCACTTCGCTGCGTGCTCAGACACAGCCGAGCTCTTAAGTTGAAGGGTCTTTGTGTTTTAATGATGTTCAAGCTTGCAACTTTAATTAGGAGAGAATGTGGTTGGAATTTGTCAATGAAGCTTTAGAAACTTGAATCTGAGGTTCAGGATTCAGGATTGTAGCTGCATATATTGCTTATATTACTTGCTATACAAGATAGAATAGCATAGAAAGAAACCATTATACTTCTGAAATGTGAATACTTTATGGTTGATAGTCCATATATCTGGAGTTTTTAACAACTTAGAATAGACTTCAAAATTCCAAAGACATTTGGTTAGCTTGAAAATTTGAACTCTGTAATGCTGTTTTGAACCATGTGATCATTAGGTCTTCAAATGATTGGTTCTTGCATTTCAGATTCAGATTTGTTGTTGTGGTAAAAATCAAAATAATAATAATAAATCCTACAAATGTAAATAAAATGGTCCTTATAATAGGCTTCCATTTTTTGTGCAAAATATAAACAATATTTGTTTTATTATTGTTACTTATAATTTTCATATATTATTATTATTATTATTTTTAGGATACTTGGTTGAAATAGGACCACAGGACCTTACAGCTTTATTATGTGCATTGGCTTCCATTCTAATTGCTCTTGTATTAAAATCCAGGCTTGTTTACAAAAAGCAAATGGGGGAAAAAAAAGCTTTCTATTTGGTCCTTAAAATAGGGCAGAAATGTGCTTTTTATTGTGGAAGAAATTCTAAATTAAATCTAAATTTTAAAAAAAAGCCTTCCATCTTCAGTGCAAAATATAAACAATATTTTTTACAATTATTTTCATTTATATTATTATATTTTATATAATAGATTACAATATCATATTATTATTATTGTTGTTGTTGTTGCTAGGGTGAAATGAGTCCTTTATATAAATGAGGACTTTATAACTTTCTTATACAGTGGTGTGAAAAAGTGTTGGCCCCCTTCCTGATTTCTTATTTTTTTTGCATGTTTGTTTGCTCATTGACAACATCCAGTTGTCATTTTGAAAGAAGCAGACCCACACACAAGATAATAGTTTTTGCAATTTGTTCTATAAATGGGTTGTAAATACTGAAAAAATTAGGTTTGCAGTTGGTGATAAAGTTCAGTCGATAAACTAAAGCAGTGAGTCAGCTGTGCGATGGATCGCTCCAGGTTTAATTGGACATCTGTCAACTACAAGTACAGAAATATATTAAAATCCTTACAAAGCTTCTCTTCTGTCCCCTGCTTTAGGAATAACATGCCGGACCATCACAAACTAAAAGCCAAACTGAGAAGGAAAAAGGATGGGCGTGCGTACGCCTGTCAGTGTAGCTGGCACTCAGCCGTGTCGCTCTCTGACCTGAGGGAACAACAGCAGCTAAAGTGGGTTTGTGGCAAACACAAAGTATGAGCACGAGTCTGCAACAGTTCTCCTCTGAAATCTTATCTGTGTCCACCAGCAAGTGTTGCATGCTCTCCTCCTCACAAAACAGAATGCTGGCCATTTTCAAAATTTGCTTTGTGCAGTTTGTGGGACTGGATAACAAAAATAAGTCGTTTTCTTCTGAGTTTTTGTTTTTTGTGTGAAGTAATTGTGAGTCTCTTTGACGACGCTACATTCTCCCTTAGAATGATGAAGCACTGTGGCTGGTTTATATTATGTAGACTCTATTATTTTTAATAATGAAAGGCTGTAACATATACAAATATTCTAAATACACATGCAAATTTTTAGATATTTTGCACAGTTGGAAATTAAAAAAGAATGAGATTGAATGTTAATAATAGAATGGTTGTTTATAGTTTAATGTTTATCATAAAATAGACCATGTAGTTTTTTTTTCTGTTCTTCCCGAATATTCCTTAAGAAACACTCAGGTATTGCAAGGGCCCGTCTGTGTTACATTCAATGGTTTTCAGGGACGTGATGTTGTGAATCGTCTGTCCTAAATAATAAATGCACATCATTGTCCACAGAATAAACAGAATCAAGAATTAAAAGAATCATTTGTGTTTCTGAAGGTTTTACCTGCTCGGAAAAATCTCTTGCAGTTGTCATGTTGATTTCACCAGGTTCCAGCTTCATCATAGTCGCTCTCTGAAGATGCAGCAGAATGGTCCTCCCTCTCTTTTTTAGGTGGTGCATTAACATACGATGCCTCTGATGCTGTGCTGCTGTTATCGGTTTCTAAAATTTAAAACAAAACAAAAAAATGTTTTTGTGTTTTACTTGCAAATTAATACTGCTTGCTTTAAGGTTCAGGTTTGCTGTACAAAAGATCCAGGTTCAAAGGAGTTGGGGGATTTCAGAAAGGAAGCTCTGAGCTGAGAAGTACTGTCACATGGTTAAGTACAAGAGGTACCTTGACTGAGGTTTCTAGGTACATGATGGTCCCTGTAACCATCAGTACTTTCTGTCATCTGTGCACTGTGGGGATTCTGAAAAGACATCTCAGGAAGTGATGGGCTTTCCTCGCCTTCCAAAAACAAGAGACACAAATTTTAGTTACGTTTTTAGATATTTTCTTGAAATATAGTATTTGATCAACAATACAATTAGAACAGTAATATTGTGAAATATTTCAATTTAAAAAAAAACTTTTATTTTAATACATTTTAAAATGTAGTTTACATGATCCTCCAGAAATCATTGCTAATTTGCTGCATTTTTGGAAAACAGAATGCATATTTTTTCATTTCTTTTTTCAGCATTTATTGTAAACAGGAATATTTCGTACCATAATGTTTTTACTGTCGCAATAAATAAATTGCAGCATTGCAATTATAAATTGCATAATAAAATGTATGGTAACGCATTGCTGCCATACACTATTTTTTCCCACTCTGTTGTAATAATGAGCTACGTTGTTTTAACGACATCTTTTTATATATATATATATATATATTATATAGCTTTTTGTTTTTTAAACGAAATGAAATAATAATCAAATTAAACCATTGACATGTCGTTATTACAAAACAAATTTTGGTTTTAACCAGATAATTATGTTGTTTTAAAGACAACATCTCGTTATTATGAGAAAAAATGTCATTAAAACGGCATAACATCTCATTATTATGACATAATTGGGTGGAAAAAAAAATGTTTTTTAAAATTTAATTTAAAAAGTTTTTCTTAAGGTTCTTGCTGAGCCCAAACTTTAGTGGTGCAGTAGTGTAATTTAAACCTGTAAATACTGAAAAATGCATTTAAAACAAAGAAATGTTACAACAAAATGAAGCAATATTAAAGATTCTGCACCATTACTGGGTAACTAATCAAACTTTGAATTTTTCCATTAAACTTCTCAAATTGTTCTGCTGGTGATATAATTATAATGAAATATTTGCATTAAATTAGAAAAATGTACTTGTGGTCTTATAAAACATAAAATGGCTTTTATATACTGTACTGTATACTGTACATACTACTTTTATATACTGTACTGTATACTATATACTGTAGACTTGTACTCATTCATTTATTAACTGCTTGTTTTCTTAAAAAAATGAAATCATAGTCTTTTAAATCACATTAAGACATACAGCAATTCTTGACTTTCTGTCCCCTAATTTAAGACTTCTTGAAATCATAATTAGGAATTTCTTGTAACATTTAAGACTTTTTATGGCCTTAAATTTGAAGAAGAAAACAAAACGAACACTAGCTTCTCTATTACTTTAATATTTAATATTATTCTATTCTATCTATTCCTTTTATTTCTTATACAATTAAAAAAGCAAAAAAGGCCTCTAACACTAGCTTGCTCTATTCTTTTTCTATTCTATCTGTTTTTTTATTTATTATAAAATAAAAATTTAAAAACTTGCTACGTGTACTATGTTAAGCTAACTGAGACTTGTTTAGCACTTGTGTATCATTGCTCTTTTGTTGATTTTGATTGCTTCCATTGTCCTCATTTGTAAGTTGCTTTGGATAAAAGCGTCTGCTAAATGACTAAATGTAAATGTAAATATACTGTATGTTTCATTCATGCCATAATGGTGAAAGGCGTTTTCATCAATCTCTGTGTTCTGATAATACTCTTCTGATGAAGTACTGTCTGAATCATTCCCATCTGCCAAGCACAAAAGCATTCACACTTATCCCTATCAAAATACACGGTTGTCAATATTGTAACATTGTTCAAACAAATAGTTACCTTGACTGTGGGTGACAGGTACATGAGAGCCGCTGTAACCAGCAGTGTTTCCTGTCATCTGAGTGCTGTGGGGTGTCTGTAGTGACTTCTCAGGAAGTGATGGGCTTTCCTCGTCTTCTAGAGAAAACAGATACATGCGATTTACCTGACAGAATGAATCCTCAGAATGCTCAGTGAAAATACCCTTCAAGCCTCAATGTTAAATGATTTATGTGAACCTACCATACTGGAGACTGTTGTCCATGTCGATCTCTGTGTTTTGATAGCACTCACCAGAAGATGTACTGGCTGAATCATTCACATCCACCACTGAAGACAAAAGAGAATTCATAAATCTGAAATTTATTTCCCTACTACAAGATACTGTTTAACTTTAAAGGTGGAAGAAGTTTTGACAATCTGGGATTTCATCAAGAGTTTTAAATCAGAGCTTCACCTCGACTGTCAGGGTTTGATAAGTGATGGTCACCGTAAGACAGGGGTGCAAATGGTGACTTTTCATGCAATGATGGTCTTTCCTCACCTTCATTAAGGGAAAAAAGATGAAATATCAGTGGATACACCTAAACATGTTCTCTCTGGATTAAATGAATTAAACTTACCCAATGTATGATTTATTTTTAACACATACGTGACATGAAATTGTTGTCCGTGTCAATCTCTTTGTTTTGATAGCACTCGCCAGAAGATGTACTGCTTGAATCATTCACATCCACCACTGAAGACAAAAGAGAATTCATAAATCTGAAATTTATTTCCCTACTACAAGATACTGTTTAACCTTAAAGTTTCAGGGTACCTGCAGGATTTTAAAGCTCAAATTTAATACTTTTTAAGACCTGCACAAATAAAATTAATACCATATAAGAGGGGTAGGGCAATCTATGCTAACATATAAAACTGTAAAATGGCCATAAAAAGCATGATAACCAGCATACTTGATGAGTTTAGATGCAGTCGACTGCTGTTGTGATGTTCATAGTCTGAATAAGTGGAGCTGTCAGAGTTGTGAGTGGGTCGATTTGTTCTCTTGCTAAATCTGCGGCCACGGTTTGAGCTCATTCTCGGGCCAAGATTTTCTGAGGAGTGAAAAACATTGCAAAATGTAAAAGTTTGACCATTAGAGAAATGACAAAACAGATCATCACTAAAGTTAGACAATACATACTTTTTTAGCATTTTATGTATATTATAATTGCAGAGCCAGTTAATTAAAATTGAATCACTTATTTAAATAAATAAAAAAAGAATGTAGTATAATTATAGTATTATTTCATATTAATCAAATTCATAATAATAACATTAAATTCACATTCTGTGAAATTTTTTTTTTTTTACCAAAATATGGGTTAAAATTCCATATAACAGCAGACCATACTCTGAAATATATTTAAGAATATTTATAATATATAATAAATACTAAAAATAAATAATCAGTGAGGACAAAGAAAATAAAAACAAGAGCAATACAAACCATACTGATACCCCCCAGCAGTGTGGACAGACTGTGTGTTGTAGATTCCTATCTGTGCATTGGACTGGTTCTCCAGGCTTGTGTGAGAATTACTGTGTTGTTGGTGAATCACACATTCTGTTGGCAAAGAGGATAAAAACAAATGGCTTAAACTTCCCCATGCAGCATTAAGTCGTTGCCTTAAGCTTTTGTATTGTCCTATTAACTATCCTGTTAATAGTTCACAAAAGGTTTGACGCTCTTCATGTTCTATAAAAAATCATTTCCTGTTATTTGAATGGAATACACTGAATGCACACAGAAATTGGCCAAGAAGTCAGTGAATTCCTTTGAAGATCATAACAATACAGTATTAAAACAACAGTGTTGTATTCGTATGCATAGATGCTCTCAGAGTTAGACAATGATAAAAAATAACTACAAGTCTGTTTGTTGTAGTAGCTCAGCTCTACATGCTCAGTTCCATTTTATTTAGTTGTAAGAAAACGTGTGTTATTTATTTTCAGATGCCACTTTTTATGTGAGTAAAGGGTCTAAAATGGTTTGAATATTTTTTGGTGCCACTGTATTTTCATAGCCAGTTATTTTAGTACAGTGGATAGTATTTAGTTTCTAACCCTATTGCAACATTCCGATGCCACTGTTTCCACTGCTTCAGAAGATACGAGTGAGTAGTGCTTTTGCATGTAAAACATGCTTATACTTGCCCTTTGCTCTTTTGAAATGCGCATAGGCAGCAGCGTTTAAAACAATAACCATAAGCAGAGCAATAGATAAGATGACACAGCCAATCGCTGCTGCTGAAACACCGCTGCTGCTTTGTGCAGATGCCATTGCAGTTGACACTAAAATAAACAGAGGGGTTTATATTAACAGAAATCATGCAGATTATGTCACTGTTTTTAATCATTTATATTTCTTTTTAAACTGAAGGAACTAAAGCATCACCTTCCACCAAAGTTGTCAAGTTCAGCCCGGTTGTGCCGCTTGTAGTTATGATCTCAACGCTTTCTGTATGAAAGACAATTAATCCATTTGGATTCAAAGGAGTACAAATTGCCAAAACCTGTCAGTCTGGATTTCACAACAAG